ACTCTCCACTCTCCACTGTTTTTCTTTTTCTTTCTTTCTTTCTTTTTTGTTTGAGATGGGGTCTCACTGTATTGCCCAGGCAAGACTCCTGGGCTCAAGTGATCCTCCCAAGTAGCTGGGACTACAGCGCCACCATGCCCAGCTAATTTTTCTATTTTTTGTAGAGACGAGGTCTCATTCTTGCTCGGGTTGGTCTTGAACTCCTGGCTTCAAGGAGTCCTCCTGCTTTGGTTAGGATGACTTCTGCCAAAGTGCTAGGATTATGGGTGTCAGCCACTGCACCCAGCCTGCTTCACCATTTTTAATAACTAATGTCACAATACATGTATGTATCAGAATGTGCTTCGCATGGTGGCATAAACACACACACTTCAAAGATAGAGTTGCTTAGGCTGGGCATGGTGGCACATGCATGTAGTCCCAGCTATCTGGGAGGCTGAGGCAGGAAGGATCCCTTGAGCCCAGGCATTTGAGGTTGCAGTGAACTAATAATCGTGCTAATAACCTGCATCCCATCCTGGGCGACAGAGCAAGACCCTATCTCAAAAATAAATAATAATTTTAAAAAGCCAACAAATACAGAGATGTTTGATAAATATAAAAATACAAGGCATTTGCCCCTGCCGGTGCAAACAGTCTTCCTAGTCAGCAGGCTCACAGGACTCTGCTGCAGGGTGTGGACCTTCCCCAGAAAGAAGCACATCCACACCACAGCCCGCTGTAGCACCTGCTTCAAGCAGAGCAATTAGCCAAGCTCCACTTTCTTAGGCTTAATCATTTTCCATGCTCCGCCCACTTGCAGAGAGCTGTGAGGCATCTCTCTAAAGCCAGGCGCAAGCAAGCAGCGTTCCTTTTTAGTGTGTTGTGCTGTGTTGCATCTGATTTTCCTAGTTGTGGTAGCAGTTTTTGGTTTTCTTGCCGTAGGTCCAGACAGTCCTTACCTGGGTTTGGGGGACAGGACCCTGGGGGTAGTCTTTACGCTGTGGTAGTTGAAATCTGAGTAATTAGTTGTTCTTCCACCGTGTGTGAGGCAGAAGCTGCCCATTGAAAAGGAGCTCATTTCTCTGTTAGTAGATGTGAGTAGGGAGAGCATATAATCAATGTACAGGAATTGTTAGGTTTTATCATCATCAACCACTTAAGAAGGTTTTGTTTGTTTGTTTTGAGACAGGGTCTCACTCTGTCGCCCAGGCTGGAATGCATTTGTGTGATCATAGCTCATTGCAGCCTCGAACTCCTGAGCTAAGCGATCCTCCCACCTCAGCCTCTGTAGTAGCTGGACTATATGCGTGCACCATTGCACCCAGCCAAGTTTTTGGTAATTTTTTTTTTTAGAGATGGGGTCTCGCTATGTTGCCCAGGCTGGTCTCGAACTCCTGACCTCAAGATCCTCCCACCTCTGCCTCCCGAAGAGCTGGGATTATAGGTGTGAGCCACCACTCCCGGCCACATAATAAGTATTTATGGGATAGCATGAGGTTTAACTAAAATAATACAAAGTGCGGATCATATATGTTCCATAAATTTTAACTCATTAAGTTTAGAAATAATTTTTTTCTTAAATCTTTTACTTTTCAGGAAGAAAGTTTATATTTCTGTTTGGCTTTGTGTTGAGGAAATGGCATTAATCTCATTACAGGAGATTGCCTCATTATCAGTTATTTCTGCCTCGGAAAAGGAGTATCATTCTTTTCTGAGCTCAACTTATCCCAGGCAGCCCAGACCTTGCCACGCTCTCATCCTTTGAGCCAAGTTGATGGATAATGGGTATTTTGGCTTCTTTCAAAGTTTCTAAATTGTCCTCCATGGTCTCCCAGACTCTTTACTTGAAAAGAGGAGCCCAAGGGTCAGTGGCCACTAGTGATAAGGTCTCTGCTGTTGACAGCAGTATGAGCTTTTTATTCACCTGAACTTTTATGGCGTGTGCAGTTTTATGATGCACTTACAGCCAAGGGTTACACAGTCACAGACTTCATTAGTCGTCAGAAAGCAGTCACAGGGCTGAGGAAGGCCATTGCGTGATCTGGCTTGAATTAGCAGCGGTGCGCGGACATTGCCAAGGCTCCCGTTTCTGGATCCAGTGGAGGAAGAGGAGGAAGAGGAGGGAGGGAGGGGGAGGAAGATGATGATTATTAATAATAGCAAACGTACACTGAGTTCTAACCAGATGCCAGGCACGGTACTGAGGGCTTCGATGTAGACCCCACATTTATTTCTCCCAGCAACTCCATGAGGCAAGTGTTAGTTATTTCTACGTGTGCCAGATGAGGAAACTGAAGCACAGAACGATTAAGTAACATGCCACGGCCACCTGGTAACCGTGAGGGGCGTGAATCCGACCCTGGCAGTTAACTGCAGGGCAGGCACCTGTGTGCCACACCGAGGTCCGAGCAAAGTGCGGTCCTTGACCAGAGAACCGCAGAGGGAGGGACCGCAGGTCAGCGGACGGGCTCGTCACCGGCCGTCCCTGTGGAACGGAGGCTGCAGAGCCCCATCTGGCTTTCTCGTCCACAGGCAGCGTAGACATTTCCTGTCCAGTACAGCAGCGACCGTCCCTCCCCTCCCCCTCTGGTTTCTGCCCAGGCTTTGTTTTCTGCAAACGCGGCCGGGCTGCTTAGCACGCTCGGCACAGCAGTGGGAAACGCGCTCGGTGCCGGTGCCAGCTAGTGTTGTTGGAGTTTAAAGAAGGCTTTTAGAAGTCCAGCTTCTCCCCCACTGGAAGCAGGCAGGGGGGCAGCTTTTATACAGTTACATTCGTTCTTGTGCGAGAAACATGGAAATAGCAAGACCAGTGAAGATGCTTCTGACATGAAATGGTGTCTGTGTCTGAAGCACGAGGCTTAAGGCTATTCCAGACACATCAAGACGTAACTGCATTCAGAAGTCAGCGAACTCACCAAAGATTATTAAAAGAAAGGACCACAGATGGGGAAATATACGGCAGCATCGTGTGTGATCACGTTAGATCTCTAGCCCTGAGAAGAAGGATCAGTCAATGGAGGTTATTAAAGCCAACAACAATTGGGCCAGTTTGCCGGGTGCTGGAAGCCCGTATTTCACACGCCAGGGTCGATTTCTTTTGTGTGTCAGAAAGGTTTACTTGGCCGGGCGCGGTGGCTCACGCCTGTAATCCTAGCTCTCTGGGAGGCCGAGGCGGGCGGATTGTTTGAGCTCGGGAGTTCGAAACCAGCCTGAGCAAGAGCGAGACCTCGTCTCTACTAAAAATAGAAAGAAATTAATCGGACAACTAAAAATACATAGAAAAAATTAGCCGGGCATGGTGGTGCATGCCTGTAGTCCCAGCTACTCGGGAGGCTGAGGCAGGAGGATCGCTTGAGCCCAGGAGTTTGAGGTTGCTGTGAGCTAGGCTGACACCACGGCACTCTAGCCCGGGCAACACAGTGAGACTTTGTCTCAAAAAAAAAAAAAAGAAAGGTTTACTTAGCGTGTTACCAGCAGAACTAGTCTGGTTGTAGCTCAGTTTTTCCTTGGTGGAAAGACTGCTTATCCTATCTGAAAGGGGGGTTGGGAAAGGATAGTTTACTTAGGATTGAAGAAAACAATCTGCGACTGAAATTCTTTCCTGGAAAACGCTATTTTGTACATGCTTGGTCTCCTGATGTCGAGCTCCTGGCTGTGCACGATCCAGCCTCACTACCTCATTTAAAGGCATGCACACCTGGCTCCTTCACCAAGCGGCCAGCTACCCCTTTCTGTCCCGTAGCAGTTTCTCAGAACCCCCTCTGTGTTTCAGGTCTCCATTCTGGGATGCCCTGACCCAGTGGTGCACGAGATTGCCTATCAGTATGGAAAAAATGTGGGAATAGCTTTTCAGGTTGGTATGCTTCTTATTCGTGAGAAGGGTGGCGTGTTGGTACTGTCAGCGTTTTCTCCCAGGGTGTGAAGCTCAGAATGGTGAGAATCGTGGCGATGGAACTGGCACGGCGGTGCTTTTCACATTCCCTTCTTCCTTTTGCCAGCTAATAGACGATGTATTGGACTTCACCTCGTGTTCTGACCAGATGGGCAAACCAACATCCGCTGATCTGAAGCTAGGGCTGGCCACCGGCCCTGTCCTGTTTGCTTCGCAGCAGGTAGGTTTCACAAACTACTCTCGACACGCTGGTGGGCAGCCCTGCAGAACCAGCGTCTCCATGCACAGCCAATGGGAAGGTGGAGAAAAGGAACAGATAGATGGGAAGGCATTTAGGTAAGAGACCACAGATCTAGATTTGATCTTGGCTCTGTGACTGACATCTTGGAGCTAGTCACCTCACCTCTCTAAGCCTGTTTCCTTATCCATAAAATTGAAAAAATTACAGCCTTCTTCCCAGGGTGGTTGCGAGGATTATCTGAGGTAAGATTCCTTATCTTTATAAACTGTGAAGTGCTGGATGCATTTAAGGTAGCATGATGATTATTTCCGTATTTTTTGGCAAGGTGCATGGTTTCCACATCTTGATCACGGAACTGGACTCTGGTGTTCCTCAGAGCCCCCTGAGGCACAGGAAGCGTCAAGGGCCTCCAAACATAGGCAATTGTGAGAAATTCTCCAGTTCTAGAAGTTTAATGGGACTATGGGGTTCTGAGAGAGGCCTCAGAGCCTCAGTCATTGTCTCAAAATGTCAAGAAGTCAGTGGATGCACTAGGACCACTTAGTCCCTCCCTCCCCAGATGGAGGGACTGTCAAGGAAGGGAAGGAAGGAAGTCAAGCTACCTTCATGATCTTGGTATGGATGAAAGGCTTAGGAAACTTCAAAGACGCTGCAGTGACTTATCAAGCAGACATTTTCACAGCCTGCTCTGGACCCTGGCCACACTGCTCTTGGCTGTACCAAATGTTATTTAAAGTAAGTGAGACACTAGCTGGTGTTTGGACATCTTCTTAAAAGATTTTCATCTTTAGTAGCATTTAATTCGTTATTTGGCAAAGCAATGATGTTGGGTTGATGTCGGTTTATCACCACATCATGAAATTAAAAACTAGCTCTTTGGTCTAACATTTTAGTAACCTTTAGTCTTCCAAAGACTTTGCCCCTAATTCTTAAAATTTACAAAGATAATTCGTGTCCTCCATAGAACTTGGTGGTTCTATTTTGATATACAAACCAGTGACCTTGCTTTCGATGGATTTCTGATTTGACAGAGGAAAGATCATCTTTTGTCCAGTGTGCAGCAAAGCCATTGCCAGGGTGATTCTTCCCAGGGGAGGCCGATGTCTTGGGTGGCTGGGCCAGGTTACCTCCGGCAACGTACCAGTGGACAGCAGCCCAGTGAGGAATACGGGCTGTGAATGCAGATGTTGGGGCACTTTATAGAAACATCTGTCCTCATTACCGCCAACCTCCACCCTCTCAGACTTGTGAGGCGAGAAGTGAAAGGTGTGCTATGAATGGGTCTCTCCTCCCAGTGAGACTAACTTGCCAGCCAAAACTCAGCATATTAAACACGTGTGAAGTTTTGACAAAAATTTATAAAACTCCTTTTCATACATTAAGGCATGAGTGAGGAGTATTGTGTTTTACCATAAACCCACAAAAAAAGTATGCGTGAGCCACGTAAATGTGAAAGTATGTCTGAGATGAGAAAAATTAGTCACCGGCTACCATCTGTACAACTATAGACATTAACCTACTGCTCAGATGCCGGTTAGTAAATGTGAGTAAAGAACATAGAGATGGAAAGATGGACTGCGTGTGCTGGAATCCAGCCAGCTCAGCAAAGATCCATTTAGCTGGGTTCTGGGATTACCACGGTAACTAAGGAACAAGACCTTCCCTGAAGCAGCTTTCAGTCTACTAAAAAGTTTGGTCGCTATACTTTTGGAATCTTATCAGTTACAAATCTTCGTCCTGAGCCCCGTGATGCTAAGTTGAATCCTACTTCAACCTTAAGATGACCGGGTGAGAATAGGTTGGCCTCTCCTGCTTGCGTTTCACTGTGAACATATTTCCAAAGAAACTAATTTACTTTCCTTTACACAAAGGAGTAGTGGCTGATTCTGCCTTCACATATAATGGGGGCGGGACGGTGGGGGGGAAGTGGACCCCTCCTACATACTGATCTGACAGTAATCTACAAGAGACTGAAAAATGCTAGGGTTTTTTGTTTTGTTTTTTAAAGCAAAAAGAACAAACAAGGTTACGGTGCCCCAAACCACAGTTTTCTGTGTGCTTCACTGGGAAATCCCAGAGTCACGAGGCGCCCACTCACTCTCAGCAGACAGCTCTCTGCTCATCTGCCCGTTAAGGCAAGGGGGAGAGGAGCAAAAGGGCACGTTGCAGCGTCAGAAAAGGGAACACAGAACCAGTCCAAGCAGGAAGTGACTCTGGACAGGACTCATTTCAAAAGCAGACTGATGTTTCTGACTGTGGCACAGGGGCCAGAGTTAGTCAGATATGTATTTATAAATTGGTTTTCTAATAAAACAGCAAGTTTAGACTCTGCTGTGGATTACACTGTCAAAAAGGGATTCTTAGCAAGAAATCTGTCAGAAGATTTGTAGGACTCAAATTAATTTGGGGTAAAACAAGTTCCACAAAAATAGCATGAGATCGTGCAGTTATCTCCATTTCATGAAAATGCGTTTTTAGTTTACAAAGGATTTTTTCATCTGTTATCTCTAATCTCACAACCCCTCTTTGTGACAAATATTATGGTATCTATTCTACAAATAAACTGATGCTTACACCTCACCAAAATTAAGCAGCTGGCAAATAGCAGAGCAGGCAGCTGAACGAGTCTTCTAAGACCAGTGTTCATCTTACCATCCCCACGTGTTACCATTGCCACTGGCGATGTTGATAAAGTTAGTACAGACAAGCGTGTATGATACCCAGCAGGTAACTGGTCCACCCTGGCACAGACGACATTCAAAAAATAGCCTCTGTGTGACACTTTGATTATTGTGATTACCACACCTGTTTAGCGGAGCAGTTCTAAGATGTCTGTAATCCTTTTCTATAGGTAGGTGAGTTTTATTTGCACATTGGATAGTCTTTGAACTTCTCCATTTGTGAACACAGCCTGAGTCTCTCTGGACTAGGACAGGGAATCGTGGGAAACCACTTTTATCTTTTTAACTTGGCATGATGGGTGTCTTGAAATTGGAATTTGCTGAACCCAGCACTGGACAGAAATTCCGTCTCCTGTGAATTCCACTGTTTTTAACATCTCTCTGAATGGATTTGGTACAGGGGATTTAAGAAAAGTTTTGGGATTTCAAAAATAGATAAATAAATAAAAGTTTCGGCATTTCTGGAGAGATCCCAGGGATGACAGTATTATGTGTCGTACATATTTTCTTTAAGAACAAAAACAGTATGTTGATTGGATTTTGAAATTCTCAGAAACAAAATGGAAATGTTTTCCTTTCTTTAGTGAGACATTAATTTTCAAATATCCTTTAAAAACAATAAAATAAAACTTTCCTTTCTTCTGCTTTTCTTCCTTGTTTGACAAGGCACTAGATCTAATGTCAGGCCCCACCCATATTCCAACTGCCACCACCAGCCCCTGCACCGGCTGCACGGGCGTATGCTACTGTGGTAATCAGCTGGTGCCTTGGAGTTACCCAAGTTTTATTTGGGTAAACTTAACCCAATTTACTTATCACACTGGTAGTTTAGATGATGGACAGATTTCAGTTAGAACCTGATTTGTGCACAGGTGGTTTGCCTACTCTTAAAAATAGAGCCAGAGCAAACAAAATCTTTCTTATTTCTCACTAAATCTGCAGGCAGGCAACTGTTCTTCCTGTTATGTTTCTCGTTTCTTCTCCACGTACACACTGAGGGGATGGGGCAGTGCCTAGGGGAAGAGCTTGGTATTTGCATATTAAAATTGCACACGCTACATGTTTTGAAGGAAGGATATAGTCACTCAATGCAAATACTTCTCGTCAAATTTTGCTTTCTCGGTGCTTTTTATAGTAAAAAGCATCAGAGAAACCACACAATCAGCACATTTTACCACCCTTGTTGGTACGGCAGGAAAAGCTTATACGCCATAAACAAGGTAATTTTACCAGAAGCCCAGGAGAGGATCACATCAGTCTTACTGGTTTTCATTTAAGAACAAGGCAGTTGCTGGCACTTTAAATTCTATAAGCATGTTAGCAACCTCTACGTGTTTAGAACTGTGTATTAACACATACTTTGCTCTGAAAGGAACATGATTACTTCATCTGCCATCATTTGGTTGAGGTTTTTCTATGTGTGCCCAATCGTTTCTTCTAGGATTTCTAATACCATGTGATGGTTACAGGACAACAACTCATTTCATCCCTCAGGTTCATTGCCAGGGAAAAACTGGCAACTGCTGTAAGCATGTGTCCAGGGCCAAAGATATCTTACCTCTTATTCCATGGAACCATGAACTGTCAGGACTGAAAGATTTCAGATCATGAGACACATACGGAGGCTAACACCCAAGAGATTAAGAAATTCACTCAGATGTGGCAGCTGGTGGTAGAACCAAGACTAGAGCTGGGATCTAGGAAGTGCAGTGATTTGGTATCCTCACTTCCTTGTTCTGTTAGTGTTGGAAATGCTCCTAAATAGTTGCTAAGTATTGTAGAACATTGATTTTATCCTCACTACCTTTTACACCTGTTTTCTTTTTTCTGTCTTATTGCCATCAGCTTAATTCTGGTCTGTTTTGTAACTTAATACAGTAACCTGGTATCTCTACCTCTGTCTTTTCTAATTTAATCGTTTTCAACCTTGGCTGCACATTTAAAATATCTGGGGAGTTTTGAAAAACCCTGATGCCCAGGCTAAACCCCAAGCCAGGATAATCTAAATCTTTGGGAACAGGATCCAGGCAGTGGTGTTTAAACTGCCTCAGATGTTCCCAGTACGCAGTCAGTGTCAAGCACCATTGCTCAAATCCACGCTATAAGCTGCCTGGCAGAGCTGTGTGCGCTCATAAATACCCTCTGCTCAGAAACCTCAGTAGCTTTCAAATGGCACTCAATTTAGTACTTAGAGTGAATTGCCTAATTCCCTCCACCATCCGAGGCCAGTCATTCTCAAAGTGTCAGCAGAAACAAGGAGTCTCAGCATCTCCTGGGAATTTGTTAGAAATGCACGCTTATCCGTCCCTGCTCAACTGAAACTCTGGGGGGAGGCCTGACAGGCTGCACGGGTGTTCTGATGCAGTCTAAAGGTCAAGAACCATATTGTTTTAGAGAGGTACTTCACCCCTCCTGCCTCTCTCACTATTGGGACTAGGGACAGAACATCAGCATGAACACCAGACTCATGGCTGCTTTTCCTGTGCACCGCACAATGCCCAGGCACAGAGAGTGGGTGTCTGTCTCCCTTAGCTCAGCTTCTTTAGTTGCTACAGTTCATTGCTCCCCGACATCATCTAGACATTTTATCACCTGTTTGTTGTTTCTTACTGTTATTTCCTGTCATTACAAACTAATGTTAGATCATTTGATTCATTCTCTCAAGAGCAATAAATAGATTTTCTTTCTTTATGGTCAGTTTCCAGAAATGAATGCTATGATAATGAGACGGTTCAATCTGCCGGGAGATGTGGACAGAGCTCGACAGTATGTATTACAGGTAAGATTATGTTTAAAAGGAAAAAAGGTACAAATGTGGCGAAGTCCTGTAACCAAACAAATAATGTGACATTAAATTTTAGATGCAAGACTAAGTTTAGCCAACTCCTGACAAAAACTGAGAAGGAGAAAGTCATTTTTCTCATGTTTAATTAATTAATTTGCATTCTTCTTCTAGACTTCTTCCCAAAGATTTCAGTTTGACTGGGCTTGGCTATAACGCTTGGACATTGATTTTACTTAAAAAGTTACCCAAGTGATTCTAACGAGAAGAAAGGGTTGAGACCCACTGGTTTGGAACCAGCCTTCCCCGTATCCACCAGTAGCATCACTATGTTCCCCGCACCCAGACCTGCCTCCACCCTAGGCCATGTGCTCGTCCTTGCTCCAGCTAGACTGTTACAGCAGTCTGCTCATAACTGGCCTTTCCTAGTCCATCTTATTACCTGTTATAAAGGTGTCACTAAAGAAATTATCAATCAAAACCAACATAGGCAAACTGTACTAAAATGTTTTTCTTTTAAAGAGAGAACTGTTTAACTCGATGTTCAGGGGTTAGTGGCTTGTTTCAAATATATTGCCATTTATCTTCAGACAGTTTCTGTAAAAGTCAGCTCTTTGAAAATTTTCAGTTTGGGTGACTGTCTTCTGAGAATGAGCTATCCCCAAGTTCAAAGTCATTTGGAACCAACAGATCTAGTCAATGAAATGGAGTGAGCAAACAACTCTTAGTAAACAGATTATACTTAGTGCATTACTTGAAATAATTCCAAATAATTACCTTTCATATTTTTAAAACATTTAAAAAGCAACCTCCTCTCCCCTTCCAAAAAGGATGTATTTCTCTTATAAAATCTAATGTGGGTTACTGCCTTTTTGGAGCATGGTTTGGCAGTACTAAAAAACTAAAGGTGGGAGCTGTAGATGATAAAGAACTCAATATCCTGGTTACTGCCTTTTTAAAAGGAGGATGGTTTGGCAGTACTATAAAAACTAAAGGTGGGAGCTGTAGCTGATAAAGAAGTCAGTATCCTTGGGAGAGGTTCTGGCTTCAGAAATAACAGTATTACTGAAGGCTGGAGTGAGAAGTGGGACTGAAAAGAGGGAAATTAATTGTAGCTCTTATGAAAATAGTGAAGTTCCAGCCATCCCACCCAGAAATGCACTTAGGAAAAAACCCACAGGAATGTTCTCTAGACAAATTCTCCAAAGTCTTCTAAATTCTAGCTCCCTGTTCACCTGCAGAGCTTCTAAATCTAGTCCCTAGTCCCTCATACATGTGAATGGACAACTCAGGATTACTAGTTGATTAAGATTTGCTGAACAAAAGAGACCAAAATAAACAGAAATAAAGGCTCAGGAAAAATATAAGTATAGGAGGATCCAAGAAGATACTGCATTCATAAAATAAGAACAGGATAATATTTTAAAAATGAGTAAGAGCAAGCTCTCAGAAATTGAAAATGATTGTGAAAAACTAACTCCAAAGAAGGTTGCCATCTGAAGTTGTGGAAATCTTCCAAAGGTATAAACAGAAAGGGAACAAATAAAAAATGAGAAAAGCTAAGAGGATCAGTACAGTCACGTAACAAATATTTCAGGAAAATCAAAAAAGTGGTCACCTACAAAAGGAAAAGGTATCAAAACTGGCTGAGTGTATAGCAAAAACACTAAATGCTAGAAGGCAGTGGATCAGGGCCTTCCCAATGATGAGCAAACATTTTAAACCTAGAATGCTATACTCAAACCATCCATTAAATCTGAAAGCAAAAGAAAGTCATCACACATAAAAACTAAAAAGTTGACTTCCCATGCACACTTTCTGGGTAGGTTATTTGCATATGTACTAAAGCAGAATGTGCAGAAACACGAAGAAAGAGAACGCAGGCTTCTGTACAACAAGGCACAGCAAACTAAAATGTGTCATGTTTTAAGCAAATTGGGAGAGTATAGACAATCAGAGGCTTTTGAAACCGTAATTGTTAGGAATGTTCTACTTTAAATGACAGGGATCATGAGCCATGGAGAAGGAAATAAAATTACAGTACATGACTTGATTCTGCAGTAAATATTGTTACATCATAGAAATAATACATACTTTATTAGTGTTCAGCTTTTAGAAAGAACCAGTCCTAAAAACATGGTTACATGATAGAATGTAAATCTATAGTGTGGTGATACAGTGTGAGGAAAGGACAGAAGCACTGGTACCCTCCCTCATACATTATAAAATCAGAAACTGATGCTACCTGATAACAAAGGTAATCTACAGAAGGCCTAAAGGTGGCAATATAATGATCCGACTAGGAGGCACAGTATGGGGAGGCTAAATCCCCATCTTAAAAAAAAGTAATAGATAATAACTAAATCAGAAATAGAAATTAATGGATGCAGCTGGTGCCTTTGGGAGAAACAAACTGTTGATTTTCATCATAAGCCCTCTGGACTTTGATTTTATTGTGTCTGTGTTCTTTTTTATTTTTTACTTTAGTTTTTTTCATTTGAAATTTTGTATAAAGATATTTTATATGTGTAGAACTTTTTAAAAACTCTAATACTTAAGTAAAAAAAAATACAGCAAGATAGATTGTACTTGGTATCAATGAGTTAATTGCTTTGCATGCTAATAGAATAAAAGTTGCTTCAATCTTAGAAAAGGGCCTAAAGGCAGCAAGAGGAAGCTACTAGCACTATGAGTTGGAAAGAGAACATGAGAAACATAGTTTGGCTATTAACTATCTAACTGACCCTTCAGCTCATCTGATCTCAAAAGTATGTGTTAATCCACTACGGGAGGAATTTAAGTGCTGATACAGTCAGTGACAGGCATCTGTTCTGTTTTGCTCTGTGTCTCGTAGAGTGACGGTGTGCAGCAAACAACCTACCTCGCCCAGCGGTACTGCCACGAAGCAATAAAAGAGATCAGTAAACTTCGACCATCCCCAGAAAGAGATGCCCTCATTCAACTTTCAGAAATCGTACTCACAAGAGATAAATGACAATTCTTTCTGTTCTTTCTGGCAGCTATTTTACCAGACTGTGCCTAAAGAATTTTGTGGAATACACTTTGCTTCATGTGCACATAACCAAAAATCATTTTAAAAAATAATACCAACCTTATTGATGGGCAATTTTTTTTATTGGCAGTGTTTTTTCAGAAAACTTTTTAAATGTCATTAAGCCATCTGAATCTGTCATTCTAGTCCTATAAATTTGAATCGAGGTATCTTGATGGTTATATGTGGTATTGTTTACACTGTTAATATCCACATGTAAAGCCATTACACAAATAAATAATCAATGATCAATGTTAAAATTCAAATGGTTTGTCTTATTTCACCATAGGAGTAAAGATCAGAAAATTGTGAAGTCTGCATTTAAGTCCACATTAGTTATATTTTAACAGTATCCAAAATTCCATATAGGAGAATGGTTTATTATAAAAGACTGTACATAAAATTTAGACAACAGGTTATATACAAATTAAGAGAACATTCCACTTAAAAAATGAGAAGTAGAAGGTAGCTAGCTGATCACTAATGATACTTGGTTTAAAATTAACAAAGGCAAAATGCATACGAAACAGTCACATTGATTTGGTAGCAATAATGTTCTTTAATTTTCAGAAATAAATGTTTTGTACTAGTCTTACCATTCACTATGCTGTTATAAGTCTGTAACGTCCAGTACATAACTGTAATTTGAAATCCAAACAAATCCTCAATACACAGAAACCCACACTTGAGTGCTCTACTTTAATATCCTAAGCAATACAGAATTATACACAAGAGAAAACATCCTGCTAACCTTCCCTTAAATTAAGAGGAGACACACAAAGTGCATGTATTGCATTTCAATTATGTCAAAAGATAATACAGATCTGTTGGATAGGTATATATCTCTGTTCACTGATTAATACATGACCCACCTTTTCCCCCAATTATTTTAAAATCTTAATGTTGCTAGTGCCAGGTAGCCTATTCACAAATTGATTGCATCCACTTTTACAATATGTAAAAGATACTTAAAATTTCATTGAACCAGTGTACAAAAGTCCACTGTAAAACTGAAGGACTGAGATGGCAGTCCTTAAGAATTTTACCTACAGAATGAATGTGAACACTTTGACACATATTCGTAGCTTCAAAAGTTACTTTTAAAAAGGAATTCAGTAGATTGACTTCTAAATAACCGTCTCGGATTTTGAATCTGCAAAAATCCATCACGCTGTTGGGACAGACTTGAGATAAGGCTAAAATTTTTTTCCAAGTTCATATACTGAGAAAATAGAACCATAATTCTGCAATAAATCATTATCTTTTATTATTTTTTTAAAAGCAAACCAGTGAAGGAAAGGACAAAAACCTTTGGTTCACCTAAGTATTTATGAATGGAAAAAATTTATAATGCAAATTTCACTCATTAAAAAAAACTTAGTACAAATTACACCATTACAGATAACCCCCTTTTTGTTTCTTTTGTTCCACATGGAGACCCTGGAGACTCACTTCATTTCAAGAGACCTAAATATGAGTACTCCAGGTAAATATTACACAAATTGGAAGCATCTTGGAATTTTTAAGTATATTTCAATACATAAATTTTTATGCATGCTTTAAACAAACAGTATTTTTAAATGAGAGAATCTAAACAAAAACTATGACCAGCACCAGCATTTAAGTTTTCTGATTTTAATATTAGTCTGACATAGCGTTAGTAACCATGCTGCACTGAAACATGTAATGGTACAATCTGAATCATGATTCGTTAAATATTAAACCCCACTTCCCCAGAATATTTAGGCTGGTCATAAAGTTAAAAATGTGTAAGTACATAAGCATAATCAGTTACGGACAGCCGTTTGTAGAAATTGCTATTTAGCAATACACAAACTGTCTCAAAGATATATGCTTATAGGTAGACATTCAATTATACCAATAAAACAGCATTTCCTGAAAATATGGGCACATTTTAAAACATATTAAGACAATTCTGTTAACCATAATAGTCCCACAATATGACTGAGTAATAACAAGAACCTACTTTAAAAGAAAAAAATTAATCAGTATAGTGCATGATTGATTCAACATAGTTCCCAGGGAACAGACCAGTCACTCGATTGCAGACTCCTTCATACCAGCCATCATCATTCTTCTTTATAACATAGATGATTGCACCCTCCATAAATGACAGCTCATCATCCTTGTCTTTTGTGTAATCATATATTGCAACCACTATGGAAAAAACAGTTGAAATATCACGTGAGTGCACTATATTCAACATTTACTTGAATTTTAAAATTTAATACCAATGAAATTTATAACAAAATCAACTATTTATATGAAGATTCTTTTATGAAGATTTTTGTATCTATCAGTACAGGTAGATCAGTGGCCGACCATGTGCTTAAATCACTGGCTTGATCTTGGGGCCAAACTGACAATTTGATTAGACTAAAAAAGTCAACAGGTTCTATCCATCTCTTTAAGAAAGATCTCTGAATTTTAGGATTTATTAGTTGTTTCAATTCATTTGTTTAGTCCCTTACCATATGCAAAGCACCATTTTTCAAAATAACTATTGGGCAAAGCTGCATAGCCATTCAGTAAACCAAGTAACAACAACCCAAACTATCTAATCTGAAAATACACAATTACTGGGAAATAAATCACATCCTACTCATTTAAAAATCCATGCTAATTTATGGGGGTATACCTAGAATATTTTTTTTTTTTTTTGGTGGAAATAGGTGAGTGAAGACCCATTAATTAATATGTAGATAACTGTGCAATTCTGTGGTATTTGTGATTCTTTTGAGTTCAAAATATAGGTTAAGTATTCCTTATCCAAAATGCCTGGGACCAGAAGTGTTTCAGATTTCAGATTCTGGAATATTCACATATACATAATGAGTGAGACATCTTTGGGCTGGGACCCAAGTCTAAGCACGAAATTAATTTGTTCCAATATACACCTTATACACATAGCCTAAAGGTCATTTTATTTTTCCCTTGAGGAAGATGAATAATAAACTATTGTGGGCCAGGCGCGGTGGCTCACGCCTGTAATCCTAGCACTCTGGGGGCCGAGGCGGGCGGATTGTTTGAGCTCAGGAGTTCGAGACCAGCCTGAGCAAGAGCGAGACCCCGTCTCTACTAAAAATAGCAAGAAATTAATCGGACAGCCGGGCATAGTGGCGCATGCCTGTAGTCCCAGCTACTTGGGAGGCTGAGGCAGAAGGATTGCTTGAGCCCAGGAGTTTGAGGTTCCTGTGAGCTAGGCTGACGCCACGGCACTCACTCTAGCCCAGACAAAAAGAGTAAGACTCTGTCTCAAAAAAAATGAAAAATAAAAAATAAACTATTGTGCACCTGCGTTTTGACTGGCAACCCATCATGAGAGTTCAGGCGTAGAATTTTCCACTTGTAGTAGGCAGGCACTCAAAAAGTTTCAGATTTTGAAGCATTCCAGATTTCAAATTTTCAGATGAGGGATGCTCAACTTCTATATGCTTTTTTGCAAGCAGTGTTGTAGAAAGGGAAGGCAATCTAAAAAGTACTAGTTTTCCATACTATTGATTTATGAATTTATTCCCTTAACTCTAACCTTTACAGCATAGTAATTCTGAAATTGCATGTAATTTTCTAGTATATGTGTAAAATGGTATGTGTTATCAGTGTTTTTTCACTGATTTACCTCATTTATTCTAGGTATTTTTTTTCTTAAAATAGGGAGTTTTTAAGATATTTACAATATTCTGGAATTCATTTTTCCCCTAAGAAAAATGGCCTCTCTCCATAATTATTCTGAATTAGTTACTTATGATAAGGAGAAGATCTACAGTACGGATCCACAGTCATCACTTGCTAAGACAGGCTGTCTTTTCTCCCTTTAAAGAACACTATTAAGTAGACTCAAGTCCATTCCCCTCCATTTCAATCCTGCAACAACCCTGATGGGCTTAATGGCAGATCAATTTTTAAAATACACAGAATAAATAATATTGAATAATTATCCTAGGATTATTTTTGGCTAAATAACCACCCAAGAGGATCAGGTGATTGCTGGAGATAAACTATTAGTAAAGAAAATGGTATAATAATAAAGTCAATTAACTAAGTATTAACTTATCAATTATTAATAATTGCTTAATTTTGGTAACATTAATTTCTTTGTATTCAGAGTCACAGTGGGTTACATTTTGAATGGTGTAGATGTCTTTAATACCGATTGTGACAAAAGCCTGATACCTTCAAGTCTTTCAGCAGAACAAAAATTCTATATTCTCATGATTTTAGTTCTATTTATGCAAAGAGCTGGTAAAATACTGAACCAAATTATGGTTCTATTTTCCAAGTCCCTCTTTGTAAAAGAAGCCTACTCCCACCCAACTTCCTGCCCCATGCACATATCCCCCTCATATAATTTCTCTTATTGCTAAATATTTAACCCAGTAACAATCTGAGGTCCACTCTACTCTCCAGGATCCTAATCTATATAAAGAGCCAAACTCCCTGTATGTGCTATGGGATTCTTTGCAACTCAAAGTCTGATTCTGTAATCCTACTTCTACATGATAAATATTTGAAAACACTTATTTACCTTCTATCTATCTATCTGAAATCTTCTTTTCCCCTACTTAGGAACAATGCTTTCAACTGTTTCTCACTATAGATGCACTTTCTAGATATTTCAGCCTCCTGATCAATTCCCCATTGAAGGCATTCCTGTTTGCAAGATCTTGACATGTGGTACTCAAAATTAGACATAATACTAGTCTTATAAAAATAATGCGATCAGATTAGTACGTATCAGGCTGAGGTTAACATATCCTAAGAATATGGCTTTTGGAACAATCATGTCATAAACTTTTGACTTACATATTCAACTGCAATCTGATTAAACCAGGTTTCATTAATCTTGTGATTATAAAGGTGACTATTAAAGGCTTTAAATATCCTACTAAATCTCAGTTTATGATTTGGACTAGGGTTCAGCAAACAATGGCCCATAGACAAATCTCAGCCACCACCTTTTTTGTAAATAAAGTTTTACTGCAACACAGCCACATCTGCTCATTCACGTATGGTCTGTGCTTGCCTTTATGCTACAACAACAGAGCTGAGTAGCTGTGACAGAAACTAGATAGCCAACAAAGTTTAAAAGATTTACTATCTGGCCTTATACAAAAAAAGTGTGCTGACTCCTAGCTTAGGATCATTATTCAACTTGTGAAGACATGTTTAAATCCTTTTAATCCTTAAGCTCTATAACTATTGGTTAATAATGAAGTGTATTAACCAATATATCATTCCAAATTTGTCAACTTAAATAAATATAATGGTCCCGTTTTCATAGTTAAAGTTAAATTTGCTTTACCAAATAAGAAAATATGGATAAAAACACAATTCAAGATTACTCAAGTTTTCATCCTCTCTATTTGAACATACGTGGGAATCCAAATATAAAGTAGAATATTCAAGACTTCCTTAACAACATGTAAATTATTTACTGATTACAAATATAAAAAAGGAAAACAAATTTACTTTAGCCACACATTCAAAACTTGAGCAGGAATGAATGCCACTTGCCTCAAGAGCTACAAGTACCTGCTAAAAGTCAGTTAGCCCAATAAAAGCAATATATTTCAAGGGCAACCAATAGTGGTCAACTAAATCACAAGCATTTTCCAAAACTGTATAGAAATAGGGATTTAAAAACAGAATTGGACGGAAAAAAATCTATCAACGCAATTTGTTTCTTCCTCACCTGTATTTCTTAATAGATAATTATACTGAATATTAGGTACTGTAGGCAAATTTACACTTTAGAGTTGTATATAATTTCATGAAATAAAATCCTAGTGATCTGTTTCTCTTTTATAAAATCACCTAACTGAAAACCTTAATTGAGGCTTTTCTCATGATAGTACCAATATATTTTTGAATATAAATGCTCCTCTACTTACAATGGGGTTATGTCCGGACAAAGATAAGTTGAAAACATTGTAAATCAAAAGCGTATTTTCGACTTAAGTACATTTTCGACTTACTGTGGGTTTATCCAGACATAACACCACCCTAAAGAGGAGCATGGTAAATGCATATCACTTTTGCACCATCATCATTTTGAAAAATCCTGAACCATCCAAATCAGGGACCATCTATACTTACATACGAAAGGTTTCTATTCTAATTAAAAGAGCTTAACAAAACTTTTTAAATCTTTACTAATTACATTCATATATAATTCAGTAACTCAATTAACTCCTTTTTTGTGCCTTAGTTGTTTCATCTATAAAATGCAAACAGGTGTGTTAATCTCCAGTTGGAAGCATATGTAGAAAGCACATGTAACATGGTTTTAATTTAAAAATAAAGGAAGATTCTTCTACTTACAAAGCTTAGGAAGTAAGGTTTAGGTAAATCATTTTGGTTGATAAGGCACTTTAAAAGAAACACTAGACTAGATGTTCTTTATTGTTCTAAAATTCTATAATGAGGTTATTTTCCTTCACATTAATGCAATTTTTTTTTGTTTTGTTTTGTTTTTTTTTGAGAAAGAGAAGAATAGGGTCTTGCTTTGTCACCCAGGTTGGAATACAGTGGCATGATCAAAGCTCACTGCAATCTTAAACTCCTAGGCTCAAGCCATCCTCCTGCCTCAGCCTCCCGAGTAGCTAGGACTACAAGTCAGCCACCACGCCTGGCTCATTATTTTTTCCTTTTTGGTAGAGAAGGCTTTCACTATAGGGTTTCGCTATATTGCCCAGGCTGGTAATTCAGTGATGACTGGACCTTACCTTTCTCAATATAATTCTTGGGGGCCCAAGCAGGATCCCCATCTGCATATGGATCATTATACTGAACTACCGCAGCCTCTTCATCTTCATAATCCACTGGAGGTGGTGGTGGTGGAGGTGGAGAATCATCGAACATGGGAATGTCATCTGGTGGAGGTGGTGGTGGAGGAGTTGGACTATCAGCAACTAAAAAGTGCCAAATAATCTGAATCAGAAATTAATCTCAATGGAAATTTATGTTAATAGAATTTAAGAAAGCTCTAACATATACAGCATGCACTATAATAAAACATGCAATGATTAGAAATAAAAGCTTGGTGTGTTAAAGGTTACGTTACTCTTAAGAATAATTTTGTAATCATAAAATGAGCTAAAAATAAGGGCATCAGGAAGTACTACAAATTAATGAATGCAGGAGGCTAGGAAACAATGTCTCTGTTTATAAGGATTATAGCAGTAGTTTCCTTATTCCAAGGCTCAGGTCAGGACAAATGTCACTCCCTTTAGTAAGTCTATCTGCTTAAATAAACCTGATATCAGTCATATTTGTCATCTGGACTGTAATAAATGATATGAATGGCATTAAATTAATGGTTTGATAACTTTTCATGGTACTCATTTGTGTCCCTGATTTTGGCTTTTAATAGTTTTGGCTCCCTAGAAATTAAGTTTCCCATGGACAGACTTTTATTTATTTGTGGATTATTGTTTGTTTTAATGGAAAGGTGGTGGGATTAGGTCTACTTCTGTGCATATATTTCCTATTCTTTGGTTTAAATTTTAACAAGAAAAAATTAAATTAAAAAAGAATTCTTAACTAGTAGAAAATCTCACTGAATAGTTTCAAAAGTATTCATAATCAAAATTTCAATGTAAAAAGAAAGCTAAGATTTTGCATTATTGCTAGTAAAATATAAGCACACGATGAAGGAAATACTGGACCCTAAAGATTCAATTTTCTAAGAATAATACATCAACAATTAAGATTTCAACATAAAGTGCTGACAGAAGATGTAATAAAAAACAAACAAAAAAAGAACTTATATCAAACAAAACAATAAAAATGACTCATACCTCAAATTCTATATGTTGTGGTATGTATATATGTGTATGCTTTAAATAATCAAAGGTGTAAACAGGGAAACGGAAAAATGTCAGGCTAGAACTGTGTTCACTGAACTATTATGATACCAGGTAACAAATGCTCCCAATATTAAGGAATTCAAAGCTGGAAATTTTTGATCCACAAATTTCTTTAAAAGTTCAAAAGACACATGAAAATGTTTTACATATTGAAATAGGAATTATATAATACCTGCAGGGGATAAGTTTGTAATAAAAACATCTTAAATCAAATACCAATTTCTGGGGCTATTTATGTGATCAAAGAAAGCAGCCATGACCTATCTGTCACATAGGGTTTTAAGGTTACTCTACCCTACTCAGAACAAAAGGGTCCAGATTTAAAACATTTGCAGATAACAGACCTACTTCGATAACCACTTCAATTCTGTAATTTCTATTTTATCCTCTCGGGGGTTGAATAAGGCTGTTAGAAACAAATCCTGTGTGGTGATACTCTAATTCCTATCAAACAGGTCTACAATTTATTTTTTTACCACATGCCTGGATCCATTTTATCTTTGCCCATATCTCCTCCATAAAGTTTTTTAGTATTATTGGAGAGGAGAGTAAAATAGGTATGAACCCATCCTGATATCAGACAGCCACAGTGCATATTCTTAATTTGGCTTAATGTATAAATTATACATGCTTGCCTAAATCCCTAAATTGCACTTACTCTTGATTTTATACACAATGTACTAGTTCAATGTTTTCACTCAACTGTCTTTATGTCCAACTGCTATAAATCTGCATTAGCTTATCTTCAAATTATGGCAGGAGTCTGGTAAACTAATTCTCTACATAAAACTTTGTCTAGCACCATGCATAATTAGTTCAAAAATGCTTTCTGGTGTTATTTATAAACAGATGTAAACACACTGCTGACTTTTTTAGAGGCTCAAATCTTAAACACTTATTAATAGGTTAACTGCTACACGCATTCACTGCCACCCACTTTGAGTGCTGTAAGAAACCTGATATTTAAGAAAAAATCATTGAAAATTTGTACTTCATAAAACATATAAAGTACTGATACACAGTTTATCACAAATCTTCCTAACATGCTTTCAAAGAAAACATGCCAAATAAAGTTGGGGAATCGGTGGCACAAGAATAACTAAGTAACTGACTGATCTGATTCAAGTTCATGTTTAGTAAAAAGAACTATCATAGTACCAAGGGCCTCTCTGAGCAGAGACCATGGATAAGGTACTAGAATAAGGTACATTAATACTAGATTTGTATCTAAAAAAAAAAAGATACCAAAAAGCTAGTCAATAATAACCTTTAGACCCACAAAATTGATGTTCATTATGGTTATTTTATATTATTTCCTAATACTTCTTATCAATATGGCAGTTCAAAAAGCTAAACTGGCTTGGTTTCTGAACCCTGCTGCATTAAGGAACAGCAATTTATCCTTATTTGCTTATTTTTTAAAGTAAGATTCACTTATTTTTAAATGTTTGGACACATTAGTTTTCAAACAAATGTTAATGGTAAGGATGGCTTACACTCAGAAATTTCAACATTTTGAAACCACGATGTTTTATAATAATCCATTAGATCATACATTCCTTGAAGAAGGAGACTTCGTCTTAAACTATCTGTATCCTTCCCAGAGCCTAGCACGTAACACTGAATAAACAAATATTTGACTGGCAGAGGGGATGTAATGGGGAGAATAACATAACAGGGTCAGCAAGAGCTGAAGAATGGAATTTGCCACAATGTATTTTCACAGAAGACAGGCTGGTCCATTGCGTTACTGGTGTGTTCAAACCATTCTGATACTTTATTTTTGAGGCAGTGGTTCCGAATGAAGGGCATTAGAACTAGACCACATTACCATCTTAATAGGTATTTTGTTGAAATATAATTCAGTAACAGTGGTAGTTTTCATTTTGCCATACAACATTCACTATGATCATACAGTTAGGATTATACATCTTGAGGAACTTCAGAAGAAATCAGACATAAACCAGTCTATCCTGATAAAAGCCATATATTCAAAATAATTTCCAAAACTCAATAAACCTGATTTTCATTCAAAGAAGACCTTAAAAAGTCGACAGATCTATATATTCAGAAACAAAACTCATGGACCTGCATGTAGCCAAAACATGAAGAGAGCTCTACACTGCTTACCACTTCCCCTTAAACAGGAAGCACAGACGTAATTTACTTATTCTTGGACGTTCACTCTTATCCTAACAGTGAACTTTTATGCAGGTTCAATATCATTTATATATAAAAATTTGAGGTTACAAAGATTTCACTAAAATTTTTTTGCAATTAAAGGGGAAAAAATCCTGTCCCAATTTTATAATAAATTTAATCTCACAATATAACTACCTATACGCTGATAAATTTGTTAAAATACAAAATGCTAATTCTCCTAATGACTATTAGAAGCTAGAAGTTTCCACACAATTTGATTTTTTGTGTTTGATTACTCTTTCCTTAAGAATATATGTGAGATCAAATCTCATGTTTTAGGATCACTTAAAGACATAAGAAAATTGCAGTTTTGAAATTTATATGGGTCAGTAATCATGCACACAAGAAAAAACTGAAGACCGTGCTCTTCAGTTTCAATAACATATCTGCACCTATTTTGGAGATAAGATTAGCTTCTCAATAAAAGTAAGGAAAATGATGACTCATCAGCCATGCATGCTAAAAAGGAGACAGCCTCTACTCTTTGATAGCTCAATTTTTCCAAACTTACTGTTTTCCTGCACCCTGGCCACGAAGCCTGTGAGAGGTATCTGTGGAGTCAACTGAGGCATAGGGGGTGGGGGTGGAGCAATAGAAACTGGTAGCAACAACACAGTATGGGGGAAGTAAAACAGATAAAGGAAAGAAAAGGAAACAAACAAAAAGCAGAAGTCAGTTACAAGGACCACAAACATAAGTATGCAAAGAACAGTTTGCAAATGAAACAAAACAAAACAAAAAACAAAACAAAAACCTGTATAACCTTTTTCAAGTTCATTTCCCATAAGTAAGCCTAAAGCTAACTTGTGCTTAGTCAATTAATTGGTTAATTTTATAAAAGAACAAATACACTTAATTTAATCTTAATGTTATATTGTTTGGGAAAGATTTAAATTTACCATCACATTCACTTTAGTGCAATGATATTTTCAAATATTTAAGGAAAAATTTCTAAAATATGTAACAATGAAGTATCTATACAGGTTTCCAGAATATTGTGTCTTTGCCATAACTCTATTACAGGTTTGTCTAACTTCAAGGTGATGTTGTAAATTAGAACTCAACTAAATAATACAAATGTGTAATAGCTGTTTACTTCATGTATCAATAAATATATTAATCAGAGGTTTCCTTTAAAAACAGTTCTTACTATGTATCTAAATTTACATACACACAGTTCTCCAGGAAAAACCCTTGTTTGTAAAACAAGGTTGTTATTATTTTTTAAGCTGGCAATTTTAAAGACAACGTTCCTAAATTTATTAGGGAGTAAGAATGCTCCATAGATCATGTTAATTATTCAGAGTTTCACAAGATATCTCAAAAGTGACCTTTTAATCACTGTTCTGAAAAAGGAAACCTGATTGTTAATAAGTTAAAATACGCAATTATTTGCATTAAAGTAATGTCTAATGAATCACCGGATAGTCTGAAATATATTCAAATGTATTTCTGGAAAGGACATAATTTATAGGAAATTGATAACAAATGCTCATGTGGGCAGCAAATCTGTTTAAAATTATACACTAGAAGTAAACATTCATGTTTACTACTTTGTTTCATTTTAACATGACAAAAATTGCCAAAGATTGCTCAGAAAAAGTCAGTTTATTGGTAGTCACCAAGAAGTGACACTAAATTGAAAAAGAACAACAATTTACTGGCTCCCAAGGATCTCTTAATCAAAAGGTTGTTTCAAGTAATCCAATGTAGGAATTTGGCTGGTAAGCATAAAAATTTGAAAGAGGTTCGGTGTTCAAAGTAGTAACAACAAAGCAATTATGTGCATTAATATCCATTGTACAGCTAAAAATAACATTCAATTCACTATGAAATTGGTCCTCTTTCATTGTGATACTTTGAATATATAAGGCTCTTAAATAAATAAAAGGTTAGAGGTTTTGATTTTAATAAACAAAAACAAAAAACTCCCACAAACCTAAAAAATTGTTTTAGAAACAACCCTTAGTAACCATGCTGGTTAGTATGTAAAGAAAAAGAAAAGCTATGCTGTGAAGATACTCATCATTACCACCACATTTAGACAAAAGGGAAAATATGCACATCAAAACACTAACAACATTTACATACTACTGCTGCTACTACTACAATAACACCAACAGTAACTCAGATGGAAGGATAATTAATTTGACAAAACATAGTAATATATTTAAAATTTGAGGCCAAATCTGCTCTCCAATAGTCAGAAGAATGTAGACATTCAGTAATAAAAGTGTCTTATTAAAAATAATCCATCCAAGTATTGCTAAAATAAAGCTACACAAATATGTATTACATGAAGAGTCACTAAAAATCCTAACAGCGTTTGGTAAACTAAATGTCTAAGTGGGGAAAAGAAAAATAACGAACATAAAGATGGGATCTAAAAAATGCAGAATATGAACAAAATTAAAGCTCATAAAACTAGCAAGGTGAATCATGAGATAATCTGTAGAATATTCAAACATTGGCTACCTTTCAATACCAAATGTGAGGCAAAGTTCTAACTGGTAAAGTTTAATACTTCTTAGTAAGTTTGAATATTTTTGTCTGGAAAAAAGTTGCATAAATTTTGGGATTACCTGTGAATTTTGACATTTCTGCTAAAGTGGTTTTCAAGTCTTAGGAGTTTTTTGCTTTAACATATTTAATCTTTAACTCTAAAACTTTAACAAAGAACTAGTAAGAGAACCTCCTCCTAGTTCTGCTTTAAAATATATATTCAGGAAACGCATTATAAATAAAAACAACTTAACCCAAATTCCTTTGTAAATATGGAGAATTCACAGAGTATTCAATATTTTTATGTAAACTAATATAACATGCAGCTCTACAAAAAGCATGTCTCAGTCTCTGCCTGGTAAGCACAATTTTAAGCCAAAATCAAATAAATACTAGACAACAGGATCATTTCTGATGTTTTTTCCCTTTTTGCATTAAGCATCTTAATATGGAAAGTGATATTAATGATCCTAAGCTATTCTAACTTCCTAACATTACATGCTAAAACCATTTTCTAATCTTAACAGCTTTTAAACATTAATTGCAATTAGTGTTGAGATGTGCAATTTGAGGTGAACAGAGTGAAATCAAAAGAAAATCCCTCCCACTGTTAGAGTTATTCAGAGACAGAGTCATTAAGCAGGCATCACAAAATGTTTTTAATTGGTTTTGAACTCATTTCAGTATAGGTTAACAACCTTAAAAGTGATAGCCAGCAATTTCATTATATTATTATTATTTTTTTTTTTTTTTTTTTGGAAACAGAGTCTCGCTGTGTTGTCCGGGCTAGAGTGCCGTGGCATCAGCCTAGCTCACAGCAACCTCAAACTCCTGGGCTCAAGCGATCCTCCTGCCTCAGCCTCCTAGTAGCTGGGACTGCAGGCGGGCACCACATTCAGATAATTTTTCTATTTTTAGTAGAGACGGGGTCTCGCTCTTGCTCAGGCTGGTCTCGAACTCCTGAGCTCAAATGATCCTCCCGCCTTGGCCTCCCAGAGGGCTAGGATTACAGGCGTGAGCCACCGCGCCCAGCCTTTCATTATGTTACTTTAAAGGAAAATTTCACAATGTTTGTGTCTGTTGTTATACTATTACTGAACTTTCTCAAACATGCCAATAAAATAAATTCAGTTTATTTCAGTGATTTTTTGTTCTCTTGGTTCTTTATATAGTAATAAAAATAGTATAGTAAAGCATCAGTTAAATTTTAGTTTATACTAAGTACACTGAATAAATCTGAATTTTGGAAGAGAAAGTAATAAGCAATTACTCTTATTAATAAAACGGTATGATCTGAGGACTAATATCCTGAAACAAAAATAAACATGAAATAGCATGGTTTCAATTGTTGTCTATCACTGGCAAGAATAACAGTTTCAAACAATTTCTTTCAAAAGGAGCTCCACTGTTGCTGTATGCCTGCAAAGCACAAGCTTACTTGAATTTTGAGAATAAAGTGGACCTCCATTAACATGAGGCTGAGCAGAAAACTGAGCAGTCACAGAGGGAGTTCGTCTGTATCCACCAGAAGATGTCGAAGAAGTGGTAGAGTTGTGTCGAGATATCTGCCTGGTCATTGTGCCATACTGGGAACCAGGAGCTGAGCCCGGGGCTGCTGAAAAGCATTAGTCAAAGGCAACCAACAAAGAGACTTGAGCATTGTAATCACCTCAGATGGCAGAACAAAGAGGGGGCCTCTCTCTATGACATACTTATTACTTTTTCAAGACTGAGGCACAAAATAAAGAGAAAAGTAAAGAGAAAAATCAAATAACTCTATCTCTGAAGTTAAAAACAGAAGGAAAAACAGGGTACTGTGTGGAAAGCTGCAAAAGTAAATAAGTAACATTCTTAAGCCCTTTAAATAAGCATAATCCCAAATGGTATTTTGCTAATATTACAAATAAATTTTTTGTGCATTTTAGAATATGTGGTTTTTATATATAAACTGTAAATACCAAAAGACAGTGTGAGGTAGAAAGCATTAGTCTTTAGATGTGAAATGTATTCATAATGTAGTTTACAAACTTCTTCCTTTCCCTTGCCAAAATTTGCAGAATTTTGATTCACAGTATAAGAACCTATCTAGCCAAATTCAGGTTAAATGATTAAAAAAACTTTTAACATATTTTCCACATCTACTACTATTTTTAAAAATTTTTATTGCATTAGCAGTTATTAGTATCTATATTACAGTAGAATGAGTTTTAAGACAAGTATGATTTCTATTTTCAAAGCACTTACTTACATGTAATGTCAGATTTGTCATATATCTCCAAATTTTTAAGATTAATGTAATATTCCCTATCACTTAAATTTTTATAACTGACAAAACTGGAAAAATTTTTTAGACTCTATAAAATATGGCATCTTAAGGCAACTTTGTTTAGAAAATCTATTATCTTTCTCCATACTCTGGAGGACTTTTTTTCTGTACTATACCCGAAGCAATCTGCTTTTTTGAAAATTATCAGGCTTATATGTAAAGCTCAGTACCTAAATTGACCAAAGTATTATTAATATTAATACTTAAAATTTTATTCATTGTCATCTTTACCACCAGTTTGAAAGTTAAATATTTAAAAGGTGAATAGAATTCAAAGCCTCCAAAGTTAACTATATTTTCCAAAGTTAACTTCAGGATTAATACGATCCTCCTTGCCCCACCTAAACATTGAACCATGACAAAGTAAGTAAGAAGCCAGTATCCTAGATTTTCTTCATTCGGTTGTTTAACACTCTCTCTTAGAGATCATATGAGGTATTAGATAAAACCATACAGCAGAGGTTGTTCGTTAAAAGAAGTGTTGATATTTAACATTTTGCAACTCCCAAGCCACAGGCAGTCACTAATTATTTGAATCTTCCACATTCTCATTTTCTAAACAGAAACATATTTTTAATATTCTGTTCGAAAGCCTTTGTGAATGAGTAATTTTGGATGCCAAGGTTTTCCAGAGAGCCTTTAATCACTTTCAGAAGAAATACCTGTAAAATGACTGTTACATTTCCCTGGCTTTTATAAAAAGTGTATAGCATTCAAATTATTTTTCTTGGTGATTCGAAACTGAAAACCAATTGTTTATTAATTCTAGACTACGACTATTTTTTAAAATTTAATATTTTATCGTGAAATAAATCATAAGGCCAAAGGGTATATGACTGATATATAATTATGTTACATATATAATTATATATTACATATGTGTGTATATAAAATTTTTTTAAATAAAGTAAATACCCAGCATAAGAAATAGAAAACTAACACTATCGCTGAAGCTGCCTCTGTGTTCCTCTCCTGGATTCTCAACCCCACAAGGGTATGTGTTAAACATTCTCCTCCTTCTCTATATAGTTTTTACCACAGACATATATAAAGATACATGGAACCTTAAACAATACACATAGTTCTTACAAATTTATGAACTTTTATAACAGAATAAATCTGTATGGATTTTATTGAATGACTTTTTTGATATTATTTTTTAAAATTCATCCATGTGGATAAGTAAACCGATGTCATTCATTTTTGCTGCTTTATTTGTATATGAATATGCCAAATTTGTTTATTCATTCTGTTATTAGACATTTGGGTTGCATTGAGATTTGTGCTATTATCAACACTACTACTATGAACACTCCTAAATATGGTTCCCAAATTTCTCTAGGACTGCGGTTCTCAAACTTCAGCACTGATAAATGTGTGAATTTCACCTTGAAGGCTCGTTATAATATAGATTGCTGGGCCCCATCCTCAGTTTCTGATTGAATTAGATAGAATGGGACCTGAGAATTTATATTTCTAACTATAATAGTTCTAAGATGCTCATGGTCTCAGGATATCACTCTGAAAGCCACTGGTCTAGGATAGCAGTTTTTAAACTTTTGGGTCTTAGAGGCCACTCTTAAAAATTAAAGAACCTCAAGAAACTTTTTTTATGTGGGTTATAGCTATAGATAATTACCATATGAGAAATTAAACTGATATATCTTTAAAATACACGAATACACAAGTACGCACTGCACTAGCTGTCAAAGCAATGACTTTATCATACTTCATCTAGCTTCTGAAAAATTCCATTATGTAGTTAGAAGACAATGAGAATGGAAAAGGCAAATAATGAATATAGTTCTGACCTCAAAAACTTCATGAAAGGATCTTGGCAATCCCCAGGAGTCCCTTAACCATATTTTGAAATCTAGTACTCTAGGGTAAAGATCTGAAAATGAAACTGATAAATCTAGGGTAGGTACCTGTTCATCTTGACTAGGTAACAACAAATTACTTTCCAAAGCAAGCGTATCAACTAATAAAATCCCATCAGCAATGTACTTTCCTGTTACTGCACATCCTCAGCAACACTGGTACTAGTGGACTTCTACATTTTAATCTATCTGGTGGATATAAAGTAGTATCTCATTGTGGTTTTAATTTTAATTTTCCTCATTATTAATTTAGGTTGAAGGCATTTTTTTTCCATACGGACATTCTACCAACAATTTCTTCTTTTTAGGTTTTTTTTTTTAAATAGAAATGGTGTCTTGCTATGTTGCCCAGGCTGCTCTTGAACTCCTGGTCTCAAGTGATCCTCCCACCTCAGGCTCCCAAGTAGGTGGGATTATAGGCCTGAGCCTCGGCACCCAGCCTCCCAACAATTTCTATTATTAGGGTGTTCTTTTTTATTACCTCCTTTCCCCCTTTCCCTTTATGAATATGTGCAAATGTTTGAAAAGATGTTGTTATACAGCTTTATTTCACTTAGCCTGAAACTCAGCTCTCATTATTTAAAGCATCTAATTATCCATTTCTATACAGATTACTGTTACTATGTATTTCTAGGCTGAATGCTTTTTGTACTGGTATTTAAAATTCCTTACATGCTCAATCTAGTCATCCCCAACTTGGGGACAATTTAAGTACATTTTATTGAGAAAATTGTTTTATGATATTCTCATACATAAAAACTGGGCTATTATCAGAGTTTTTCAAACTGTGCTCCACAGGAAGGCATCACAGCACCCCATGAAACACATCATTTTCCTTTCCATTTTTCTCCTCCTATCCCTATCCTCACCCTGATCCTTTATTGTATATACCAGGGAGTTCCAAATCAAGCTTCACTTCAGAGGGGAAGAAAAAATTACACTACTAATTAAAATTTATTTTTAACTATCACTGCCATAAATTATCCTAGAAAAATGTAAACAAACAACAAATAAAAACCACATTGAGTTGGTTATAAACCAAGCATAGAAACATTCTGTATTATAGAAAAAGTTATATTTGTTTACTGTGTAAGTTCAGAAGCCTTTCACCAAAAGAAATTAGTGTATATTAGATTTAATACTTCAACCTCTGTATTATCACCTACAACCTAATGACTAATAAAAGCTACCAGTCTATTAGCTACAGAGGAGTTTACTATGAATTGTGCAAAGTAAGTTCAACAGCTCCAAAGGTTATGCAATCTCACCTATCACAGTGCTCACTGGGAGAAGTGGTGGCAGAGGTGGTGCTGGTGGAGCTCCACAAGGAGGAGGGACAGAAATGTTTTCTAATAAAATAGTTTATAATTCAGGTCAGAGTGCAAGAAAGGAAAACTAAACATTCTGAAACAGCAAGAAAGCACAATGTATTGGAAAGAAGAAAAAAAGAGACACCCATATGTAAAGCACGTTCAAATCAGTAAAAATTCTAATATAACAGATAAAAAGGCCACTGAGAGTTCATACCTGCATTAACTATAAAATATACCCGTTTTTATAAGTAAATGTTTTTTCTTTTTCAAAAATATGCTTGAAAGGCTAAGAATTTTTTCCTAACATTTTTCATGATCGTACTTTTAAAGTACACATTTTTAACACTATAGTCTCCAGTTACAAAAATATCAAGGGACTAATTTAATTCTTTCCAAAGGATTTCTTAAATTTTTATACTTTCTAAAAAGTAAATGAACTTTTCCTATTGCATTTCCCTAACACATGTATTGAATATCATACATAAATGTAGTAAAGTCACAGAACAAGCAAATACCAGAGTTAAGATACTATAGATACTGATTCTTTGGTTGGAGTACCATACAATACTGGTTTGCTCTTGAAATAATAAATGTCATTCTTGACTAGTGCTCCAGGCAAACACAACTGGCCCTCCGTATCCATGGGTTCCACGTCCCTGTATTCAACCAACTGCAGATTGAATATATTCAGGAAAAAAAAAATGGATGCTTGCATCTGTACTAAACATGTATAGACTTATTTTTCTTTTTGTCGTTATTCCGAAAAAATACAGTATTGGGTATTTCAAGTAATCTAGAGATGATCTGAAGTATACAGAAGGATGTGCATAGGAAATTACTACACCATTTTATATAAGGTGCTTGAGTGTCCTCAGATTTTGGTATCCACTGGGGGCTCCTAGAACAATCCCCCATCCCCCTGAGGGATGACTGTATTTCTAAAGCAAAATAGCCAAAAAGTTATTTAACAAAGCTATTTAATATATGTACTATATATAAGGAGAAAGCTGGTAAAATCCTAAAGACTGTGAAAACCAATCTAAAAATATTGCTAAATTTGTTATTAGGTTTCAAGCAATCACAAATTTAATAATTTTATCCAATATGACTAAATTATTTCAGCCTTCCATAACAAAGCTCATGAATATAACCACATATTAAACACAGACTAATAAAAAACATACCTGGTCCAATGGTGGGTGGTGAAGGTGTAGGCACAGCAATGGGAATGCCAATACTACTGCTTCCACTGTTTTCTCGACTTCCACTTCCTCCACTACTTCCACTGCAAAGAAAAGAAAAAACTGTGAAAAAAGCAATTCTAGAGACTTAAAAAATTTTCAGTAATCAACCTAAGGCCACTAAATGTTCCTCAATATCCATGGGGCACTGGTCCTAGGAGCCCCCCAGATACCAAAATCCATGGATGCTCAAGACCTACAGTCAGTCCTGCAGAACCGACAGAAACAAAAAGTTGGTCCTCTGTAAACACAGGTTGCACATTCTGGAAACACTGTATTTTTTGACTCGCTGTTGGTTGAATCTGCAAATGTGGAATCTGAGGGTGTGGAAATCACAGACATGAAGGGCTATATATGTGGCAAGAAATTTTTTAAACTGTTCATTATAACCCTTAACCCTACTACTTGAAGTGGTTCTCGTGTTTCACTCTACTTCTCAACCTATATATAAATATAAAAGAGTACTCAGAACCATATCTAGTGAGAAATTTATGACCAACAAAATAGTATGGCGAGTCAACAAGTGTTTATTCAAAACCTGATATGAAGAGCAGTGAACACTGCAGACAGGAACCACTTTGTCACAGAGCTCACAGTCATGCATGGGAAAACAGACATTAAAAAACAGTGTGATGGATATCACAAAAAAGAATGTACAAGATGCTATGGAAATAAATAAAAAGGGTAACAACTCCAGTCAGAAATTAATATGAAAATGTCCACTCATCTCAAAGATAGGTGATAAAACTAGGAAATTTTCTGTACAATGAGCATAACAACAAAGACAGTGGTGAAGTTTCAGTGTGGCATTCTGAAATAGTTGCTACTAATAAACTCTAACCAACTCCCTAGTATTCTACTTCTTATTAGCTGTAAGGATCTACTGACTTTTAGCTGTAAGACCTGGCACTATCCAGTTCTTTTTAGAAAGGTGTATGATCTTGCACCATCCAACTGTTCTTAGTAATGTATGCACACGTGTACATGTGTGAAAACATATATATGTGCACATGTAGCCTTAAGCTCCATATATTTTAAAATCAACATCATTTCTTCAATAAGCCCAGAAACTCAAGAGGGCAAAGATTTGCAATGCCTGGATAAGATTTTTTTCTTCTTCTCCAATATGACCATTCTATAATTAGATTATCACATGTTAATAAAACGGAAAAAATCCATTTTATATGACAGAAGTAGCTTAGATGTGAAGGCCTCACTAACTGTCTTAAGCCAGGTAAATATTCAGCTATGTGTCATCACTGCATCATAGATATGAATATTTTAGCACTTATTCTTATCTACAATTTTGGCTTACATACCTTTTCACTACCATAGGGGTTGGTAAATTATGGCCTTATGGCCTGATGTTTACGACCTGTGAGCTAAACCCATTTTATACATTTTTAAATAGGAAAAAAAATCAAAAGAGGAGTAATGTTTTGTAACACATTAAAATTATTATATTATAAATAAAGTTTTACTGGAACACAGCCATGTTCATTCATTTACATATTTTCCATGGCTGCTTTTTATGCTACAATGACAGAATTCAGTTATTGCAACAGAAACCATATGGCCTGAAAATCCTAAAATGATGACAATCTGTTCCTTTATAGAAAAAGTTTGTTGATCCCTGCTCTAACAGAATGAGCTCCTGAAAAAAAGAATGACACCTTATTGGTATATGCCCAGTATCTAATGAAGTTAACTCTTAAGAACTGGTTGTTGAATATGATTAAACTATTACTACTTCCACTATAGAGGAAAACCACACTTTAATCCAATAATTCAATAACAATAAACGTAAAAAGAGAACAATCTGGGTTCTCATTGAACTTGAGCTGATACACAGTATCTGTAGATATCAACTATTTATTTACCAACAGTAGCAACAGCAATAAATACCAAGTACCTAGCATCTCACAGCTTGATAGACTCCGTTTAGTTGAATCCCCAAAAATAATTTTGCTAAGTTATCTTTAATTTACCAACCTAAAAGTCAAGACAAAGAGAGGTTCCTTGCTCAAGTTATTAAGAAATAAAACTGAAGAATAAAACAAATTTATATAATAAACTTACCTGACTTTATAAAAGTGCTCAAAAACTAAACTGGCCACTTTTGGGTGGAAGAAGAGAGAGACAATAATTGAGAAAGAGGATGAGGGGGGACTTCTGAGTTGCTAGTAATGTTCTGTTTCCTGATCCTGGAGATGGTTACATGAGTGTGCACTGTCCATCAAGCTGTATATACTTAACAAAGCATATACTTTTCTGAATATATGTTATGCTGCATATGAAGTTTTTTAAAAACACGCTAGGTATTTGATTTTCAGAACATTTAAAAATAATATACATGATAACATATTCCAGTGTGTCAACCTAAATTAGTCCTCGGATTTAAGCTAAATCTTCTTTCCTCCAATCTCTTAAAGTTTAAATCATGTTGTATAATTTTTATAACATTTAACCTTTTCTCCAAAAATATTTAAGAGTGGTTGTCTTACCCTTTTTTTTTTTTGAGACAGAGTCTCACTCTCTTGCCTGGGGCAAGTGCTGTGACATCAGCTTAGCTCACAGCAACCTCAAACTCCTGGGCTCAAGCAGTCCTCCTGCCTCAGCCTCCCAGGTAGCTGGGACTACAGGCATGCGCAACCATGCCCGGCTAATTTTTTCTATATATTTTTAGTTGTCTGATTAATTTCTTTCTATTTTTAGTAGAGACGGGGTCTCGCTCTTGCTCAGGCTGGTCTCGAACTCCTGAGCTCAAACAATCTGCCCGCCTCGGCCTCCCAGAGTGCCAGGATTACAGGCGTGAGCCACTGAGCCCGGCCTCTGTCTTATCCTTTTTTAAACACTGTTTGAAAAAACATTCTTTCACCTTGAATCAAATAAATATATGTCTGTACCTCTGTCAAAAGGAGGAAATACTAACAATCTTAACAAAATCTAAAAAAACAGAAGTAATGACACAAATTTACAGAAACATATACAATATTATTACCTCCAACTTTTACATTTGATAGTAACATTAAAGTAGTACTTCACCTATACTCAGCACCTTTGTAGGAGTTTGTCACCAGTCAATAACATCCACTCTCAGATATTCAAATGTTCAACATGAAGGTTTACCTGTGTGTCCTTGGTCTCTGATTTAAAGAAGCTGTCCTGCCTGGACTATGCTGACTTCCAAGCCTAGCAGGACTCGTCATGTAGTCATTAGGAACTGTTGGGGGTTTAACAGGTTCCAGGGTTTTATACGGAGTATTCCGTCTAAAGAAACATAGTAGAGAAAGGAATAATAAGAAAGATAAAATGGTATTTTCCCCCCAAATTTGTGATTGTCCCTTCGTGACCAAGTGTAACAATTTTTTTAAAATTTTTAATAAGTTTGTAATTTTTAAAAATATTCTAAATTGGGTATATGAATTTAGTTACTTTAACACAAAAACTAAAATGTGTTACCTTTTCTTAGGAAAAACATAGGAAAGGGTAATTTAAAGTTCTAACCTTATTTCTAAAAATAATGGCTATAATTTTTTAAATGCTCAATGTCAAACTTTGAAATGTACATTATTACCAGCTCAGCTGCCCATAAGCCACTGTCCTTTACACAGGGAACTAAATTTATTTACGTATGTAGCTGCAACTTTTTCCTACCTCAATATGGAAATACATGGAGAAGTACATTCTGATCCTAGATGTAATGCCATTATATTCTCAATGATTATTACTTTTCTGTTTAATAATTTCATATTTTTTCCAAAGGTAGAGGCTTTAAAGAATGAAAACAGAAACTAAGATCCTCTGAAAAAACTGATTGTTCTATAATCCCTCCATGAAAAACAAGAAATCTAATACAGTATTTCCTGTGTTAAGGTGAACAATCTTAAAGAAATGTAATGTCTTGCCAAGTATTCAATATATTTAGTAATTAAGAATTGGGAAGGAAGAGGCCGCCAACCTTTCTACTTCTCTACTTGGCCTTCCCATAAAGCTACTCTAGTATGAAGGGGCCTAAGACTGCCAGCAGAAGCACAGTTAGAAGTACTCAGGTAAAGAGTCTCTAAGTTTCAGGTGCCACGTAATAGGAGAAACAGAAAAGCTGCAGGCAACTAAGCCAAACTACACAAAGTAGACCACTTATTCAAAGTTCTGTAATACAAATATTGTAAATACATGTGAAGGCACCATACAGAATCTTCTGGTCATTCCATCTGAAACAAACTGAAGTCAGATTTATAGTTAAAAAAAATAATTAGAAGACAAAAAGTAAATAATGCCATTAACACAAATACAACTCTTTTCTAATACAGACTTCTACAGAGGCTATTATACAGTAGGCAGATTGATTTTGGATTCTGTTCAGGGAACTAAGAATTAAAATGAATTTGTAGAAGGTAATGTCACATAGAGTCCCATGGCTAGGATCCATACATTTTCTTACATCAAAGAAATACCTTTCCTTTAAGCATATGAATTATTTTGTAAAATGTAGTTGAATTCTTACCCCAATGTTCCCCGGCCTGACATGGGAGGACTCGGTGGTTTCTGAGTAGGAGGATTTGTTCTCGACAATGTGCCAGTTCTTGCAGGCTGGTTATTTCCATGCTAAAATGTGGAAAGAAATGCTTTTATTTTTACATCAAATTGTTCTCCTGGTGTTTTAACACCATGTATTATTTTTTTTTTAATATCAGAATGTGAAGTAAGGATTCCCAGACAGTTTTAATAAGACTTTGGTACTATATTTTAAAAGGCAAGGAACCACTTGCACTTGTTTTTCCCTGTTATTTTGTGCCATTCACATCAATTTATGGCCAAATACTGGTGAAATTATTGGATTTCATACATTATTTTATTGCTAAGCATATTCGTGGAGATCAAACTTATCTGCATCAAACACTGGGTTTCCTAACATTTTTGAAATGTGTGCATAAACTATATACAGATTTCACTGTCAATTTGCTAAAATATCCATCTGAAAATCATCTTTATCCTAACAATTCAGTAACAAAGTCGCATATGATGTCTGGGAAACCTCCTAATTGTAAGTCAATGAAAGCAAGGCAACTATCAAAAAATGAGCAAAGCAATAAATGTTAGCAAAATTAATGTTCCTATATAAATGCAGATGTCAATATATCTTTGATATATTAACACGGCCAAGCTAAATGTTGCTGATTTGAACTGAATTTGAGTATATTTAATCTACGTAAATCCTACAGGGAAAGCAGACAGACATAAGAAGAATTTTCACATTTTAGTGGCTCTGCAGCCTCTATCAATATAGAGGGAATACTGTGGATCAAATAAGTAACGTCTCTTACCTTGGCTTTTAGCCACTTTACGTTGGCAAAAAAAGGGGGGGAAAAGGTAGAAATTAATGCTAGATAAGTTATATCTGATAGGACAGGTTTACATTTACAGTTATTCAATTCATGTTAATAAGCTTTTATCCAGCCACATTTCAAATATTTTATAAAGAAAAAGATATCCATAAGTACTGGGCAAATATTCACATGTTTTATGTATTTTTCAAAAGAAATATATTCATAAGGAAACCACCACTTAATTATGCCAATCTCATGCAGGCCCAATGATTTCTTAGGTCAGTATTTTATTCTATATAACTAATCCAACTGAATCACAGATGATAAAAAAATACTTTGATTTAAATATAAACACCGTAACACATTAGATATAAAGGTATTTTAACACATCAGTGTACAATGCCTGAGACTTGACTTTACTGGATAATGAATGCCCAAGTACGAGTATTCATTACTTGAATGGTAGTATAGTATTTTAAAAAGTGATAAGCTGCAAATGTTAAAATTCAAAATCACAGGTTGCTTCCAAACTAAAAAAAAAGAACTTAGCACCTTGGTATTTAAAAACAAAATCACCATACACAGTAATCACTTAGCCAGATTCTAACTAAAGAATAAAAAAACAGGGTCTGGAAAACCCTCTCATTTCTATTAACACCTTAAGAACCCAAATCTTGAGCAGGCCAACACTAGTAGGAAGTTATAGGTAGCTTTAGTTCTAAGTTTTCTCCTGAACCAATTTAGTCAAAATTCAAAATTGGAAAAAAGCTACTTTGATCCTAAAGGCTACTCCTACGAAAGATGACTAGCCTACACACATGAAACAATGCGTACAGTCCTAAAGCATCACTACTTGTACTATGCCATTAAGAAAAAATATCTTTAGGTTTCAGTTTAAGTTTTTTTAGACTTTGTGAGTTTTAAGTTCTTTCCATGACATCTGCCATTCTCAATAAGTACGTATCATTTTTCAGGCAATACTAAGGAAAATCATCCAAAGGAGGAATTTACATTCTCTTGAATACATTCTTATTTATAGAAACTGTGCCAGAAATTTGGTATTCTTTAATGTATGTTTAAAATTATATTGCTCACTTTTATCCAGAAACAACATCTGGAACTCTACCTTGCCACTACATTTCACTCTTGATTTACAAAATTAAATTTGACTAACATTATTACAATCCTTGAAGATAAAATATACTAATGTATATATTATCATTTTATGTATTATAGTATATGTATATACTTATTCCAGTATATGCATATCCTAATGTATATTTTATAATGTGTATACATTATAATACACTAAATACTATCCTGAAATAATCAAGAAAATATTCTAAATATGCCCACACATCTTCCCTCATTTGTTGTTTAACATGAACGAGAAACAAAAATTAGCATCCAAGCATAAGCTGGTGCCAAATGAAAGAATAAAAAGAGAATTAGATTGGGAATGAAAATTCTAGTTGAACTCTGCGCTACTATGTAACGGTACAACCTTTAACTTCCTATGGAGCTCCGCCTCCTCTGTTAAGTGTGTTTATGGATGCAGATGTGTTGGGGTTGAGGAGTGTTGGTAGAAAATAATCTCTATATTTTACCGTTCAAAATATTATAATTGCTAGAAACCTATAAAACTTTTCCACTGAAATGTCCTCAAAATATATCGAAAACGAGATTTATTTTTATTTCCTTAAGATCTCACTTCATTTCCTCAACATTTATATTTATAAAAGAGTAATTTTGGCCGGGCGCGGTGGCTCACGCTTATAATCCTAGCACTCTGGGAGGCCGAGGCGGGTGGATTGTTTGAGCTCAGGAGTTCAAAACCAGCCTGAGCAAGAGCGAGACCCCGTCTCTACTAAAAATACAAAGAAATTAGCTGGACAGCTAAATATATTTATATATATATAAAAAATTAGCCAGGCATGGTGGCGCATGCCTGTAGTCCCAGCTACTCGGGAGGCTGAGGCAGTAGGATTGCTTGAGCCCAGGAGTTTGAGGTTGCTGTGAGCTAGGCTGAAGCCACGGCACTCTAGCCTGAGCAACACAGTGAAGCTCTGTCTCAAAAAAAAAAAAAAAAGTAATTTTAGCATTTGCCTGGAATCTTAGGTTAAAAACAACAGAATTCTCTTTGATTCTTCCCATATTATATTCTAAGTAGGATAGGGTAGGTAGTACCATAGATACTGTAAGGCCAATTCTCTCCTTGAAATGATTCTTACTCCTCTGCTTAATAAAGTTAAAACTTTTTTAAAAACATCATTCCTATGTAAATAACATAAAACTTTAGTGTCTACACTGGTAAAACAAATTAATTGGGAGACCATTAGGCTAACATGACTCTGACGTCCTGGGTTCCTACATGAGTAAACCAAAATTAAACTCAGAGTAACTTAACTAATCAGAAACCACCTACTAACCTAACTAGGGACTTTACTAATCAGAAACCACCAATTAACATCTAACCAATCAAATATTTTCTCTGTCTGGCTTCCTTCAACTTTCCCTAATGTCCCCTCTGGTGTGGAGCTGCCCAATTCATGAATCGCTGTCTGCTCAAATAAACTCTAAAAAAATTTAATGTGCTTAAGTTTATCCTTTAATATCACTAATAAAATGTAACAACTCTTAGATCACATGGTCTTTTGAAGCTTAAAAACAAGCACAGAAACACATATTAATATACACTTGTCCCTTGGTATCCATGAGGGATTGGTTCTAGGACGCTTGTGGATAGCAAAATCCAAGGATGCTCGAGTCCCTTATATAAAATGGCATACTATTTGCATGTAACCTAGGCATATCCTCCTGTGTATTTTAAATCACCTCTAAATTATTTCTAATACCTAATACAATGTAAATGTAATACAATGTAAATGCTATGTAAAAGCTGTTATACTATACTTTTTACTTATATTATTTTATATTGCTGTATTTGTCATTTTTAAATTTTTTTCCAGATCTTTTTGATCCAAGGTTGGTTGAATCCACAGATGGGGAACCCAGAGCTCCAGAGGGCTGACTATATATGCAAAGTCCTTTGTAAATCATGTATCAGGCCATAAAGGTGTTAATTGTTATTACTGTGCATCAAAAATAAACTTAAACTTCTCTGCTACACATTCAAGCCTTCCCTACTCTAGCTTACTCTAAAACAAACCTGTGCTCACTTATAAAGATCTTCTTTTCATTCTCCTTTATGAATATGTTCTGATATTAACAGTTTCTCTATGCTGGGATCTTATCCATATCTTACACTGTTTCTAAAAATCAAACCAGACTTACCTTAGGATATTTTTTCCGTATTTTTAATTCCTACTAAATTTATGTGTCCCATACATTTCATAGTATAAAATGCATTAACACAGTAAATATTATTTAAATGAAACCTAGCTATATCAAATACAAACACCAAAACACTAAAATTTACATCACAAAATAAGAAAATATGATGGACTATATTTACACGTAATTTTTAAAATTCTGTATGTATTTTTTAAAATACCAAAACACCAAAGTCGAAAACCAAGCAGCAATATGAGGAAATACTATATACTTCAATATATGAAGGGCTAATTTCCTTAAAAGAAAAAAGGACTCTTTACAAGTCAGTAAAACAAACTTCTAAATAGAAAAGCGGGCAAAGGATAAGAAAATAATTCTAAAGCTATAAGTAGCGTCTCCCTATACTTAAAATACCAAATTTTAAATAAATTTAAACTTTTCCTTCTAATAATTTTGGCCCTGGCATTTGTTCATACTGAAATGCCTATCTACATGCATCTCTACAATCCTCTAGAAATATTTAAGCCAACAATGATAACTTTAGAGAAATCATAAAACTAAGGAAATAAAACAGCAATAAGACTACTGGGGAAAAAATAATTGTGTGCTTGTGCGTCATGGGTATTTGTAAATCACAGAAACAAAATATAGACAAATATGCCACATGTTAGCTTCTAAAATATATTGTTCTCACAGACCACCTACTCTCCTACCCCTAGCCAAAAACATATTTTAAAATAGCCTGCACAACAATGTGAAGGAACTTAATGTCAGAGAACCATACATTTAAAAATAGTTAAATAGTACATTTTATTAAATGATGTATTTTTTCACAATAAAAATTTAAAAACAAAACAAAACAAAAAAACCCTTTGTCTAATGTATCCATATTATGGATAGAAAGCAAACTGACAAAATTCACATCCATAGACTTTGAGCATATATCATGTTCTGTGTATACTTCTCACTTATACATATATGATGAAATAGATAAATTTTCTCAGCTAAAACTTCCCTGCAAAATTTTGATTCATCTTATACTCAGCTAAGTACTATGTCTTAAACGGTTATACACAATTATGAGGGGAAGGATGATATAATGAAGGATATTCACTTCTAAGGTAATGACTGAATTTTTAAAATGATTTTGTATTGCTTCAATAGAAAGAAAAATCAAGATGGGGCAAAAGGGGGAGACGTGAGCGAGCGAGTGTGCATGTGTGTGTGTACAGAGGTACATATATATACATGCACATATATATATTTTTTAACCTCAAGATGGGTAATAACAGAAAAGACACTTTTCCCAGATTCTCAAAACTCAAATCCCGTAGATCAATCCAGTCTAAAATACCCTACATTAAAACTGAATTTAAAATCTTATACAACTCTTAGCCATACCCCTGGATAAAATACAAGAAACAAACTAGTAGTCTCTGCTATATTTCCAAAGTCTTTCAACTTTATATATAACTTCCAAGCATGAAAGTGAAGGGGAGATTCCAACAGTCTCAGAGAAGAGTTGAATAAAGGTCAACGTTGTCGGCTATCCTCCTCTCTCAACCAGGAAGCCCAGAAAATCCAGAATCCAACATATACAGCAATAGTACCAGTCGGATCAATCTGCTAGGAAAAGCTTCATGATTCTAGCTTACTCATTTAAGATTATTATAAAATATTCTGAAGACCAGAAACAAAATTAAATAATGGTCCTCTTGGAAAGGGATAACTACATTTAAAAGGAACAGTTTATCCTGAACACAGATGGCTAAAGAATTTAGGTCATTCCAGATGCTTGCAAAATGACCCATGAATATCAAAAAATTGACAGAATACAGGTATCTCTTCAAGATGAGCTAATTCTGCCATGCTTAGAAATGAACATGGGCAATTAACAATCTCTCTCCTAAAAGGGAGATTTTTTTTGTAATTGCGGGAGAGGGTATTTATACAGAAGAAAATTACATACAATTTTCATTTTTTATAAGTTGCAATTCCATCCATATACACACAGGTATAAAAATACATATATACATATTTAGAAATAAAAGGATAAGGATGTTTATAAATTATTTTCTAGACCAATTCTGGAAAGTACATAGATTATTAAATACTTATTCAGTAGTGAAAGTGAGACATGACGAACTTACAAATAATAGTCTGGGACTGAAATGGTTTATTTAATGAATAACTATTTCAAGTTTTAATAACTTTTTTTTTTTGATACAGTCTCGCTCTGTTGCCTAGGCTAGATGCCATGGCATCAGCCTAGCTCACAGCAACCTCAAACTCCTGG